CTTTGCCTCCCTGTGCTATGCCTTGGCCCTGGCCGCCTGAGAAGTAGTAGTACTAGTCGTCGTCGTCGTCGTAGTAGTAGTAGTAGTAGTAGTAGCAGTAGTAGTAGCAGTAGCAGTAGTAGACGGTGTTCGAATCAGTGTATGTAGCTGCTGCAAGATTACCTCCATCCACCGAAGCCTCCTTGGTCTCGTGGATGATTTGAGCTAAAGCCCTCTTGGCTGCTTTTGCTTCGCCAATGTCTGCATCATGGGAGAGTGCCAGGGTCGCTTCATCAATGGTGCTGGCGGCGTTGTTGCCCGTCCTCTTGATGTCATCGACCCGCTCGGACAAAGCCTGTGCCTTGTCATCGTAGTCCAGCATTTCACCTAGCTTGAACGGCCATTGCTAATGGCGCACCCGCTGGCACCTTTCCAGCTCGCACAGCCGCAAGCACAGTCCCTATGACCGGCAGCTGTTTGGTGATCTGCGAGATTCGGGACCTTCGTGTACGAGGAAACTGTTCTCGAAAAGCGGCAGCTGCGGGCAGATTTGTGGAACGTGCACTTGCTTGCTGGCAATTACTTGCCAGTGTTATCGTGGCCTCGTAGAAAATCTCTCGCAGGCACCTGCCGCATGTTGACCTGCAGGGTGGTCCTGTCTCCACCTGGCGCCTGTCTGACTTGTTCCACGACATGTGAACTGACTAATGTCTTCCCGACGCTTTTGCCACCCGAAACCAAGGCGAGTTTGCCATCTTGCAAGACCGCATTCGTACGCGCCTTCGAAACATCTCCGCGGTCCGCTACCTTGCAGTGTCTGTTGGGCCCCTATCATGAACTGCGTGGCCCTTTGATCAACACTATTTGGGTGAGCATCTGCATCCACCTGCTTGCCCCTCGCATCTTCTTGCTTGAAGGAAAAGGCTGCTGTTCTTGACGTTGGCGAAGAAGTCGCCATCCAACTTACAGGCATAGAACTCACAGCCTTCATCGTCCACCAGCCCATTTGGCCAATGCTGGTCTGCGCCCACATCAGGGAACAGCAGTTTCACTCCAAAGCGCTAACCCCGTCAGTTTGACCCTCCTCTGCCTTGCGCAGCACCGCGTATCGAGCAATGAACCCCTGGTGCCGAAAAAGGAGCCACCACGAAGCCATGGTGCCCGACATGTGCCATGAACAGCGCTGCTGGTGCTGGTTGCTCTGCAGATCAACCAGCACCAGCAGCGCTGTTGAGCGATTGCGGAGGTGTCTGGTTCCATGTGGCTTCTATATACATTAACATGGACGAAAGCATCAACTGCCCTATATTGCCCTATGAGAGGCCCAATACAATTCGTGAACGGCTGCAGCCGGAACTGCACAGCTTAAGCAATGCTGCTGCGCACGCATGGCTTCATTGAAGAAGCAGACGGGCGCTGTTGGCCCACAGCAGGAAGGCTTGAAGGTTTTGTTGTTTTCTATGAGGGTCGCTGACCCCAGACCTCATAAGGGTATTTGTAATCTTGTGCATAGAGTTAAAGAATGCTTAGGTGGATTTGGTTTTGCATTGTGTTTTGGATCTTGGATTTGGTTGTGGCGAGTTGCTTTGCTTCGGGGTTGTGTTGTCAATTTTTGCTTGGATAGTTGGATGTGTTTCGTGTATTGCGGGTTTGAAGGGTTGCTTCATTAGGCGGATTGAGAAATGGGGTAAAAGCGTAGGCTGGGGTTACAGGATGTGAGTCTGGGATCAGCACCTGCCTGCTGTAGAGCCCTGAAGCCCTAGTTATGTTTATTGGTTCTGCCTCATGTTGATCAACTCGCTCGAAGCCGTGGAACTTCTGCAAATGGTCTTGGACCGTTGGCCGCTCAAGCAGAAGTCGACGGAGAACGCCGGTGGCCTCCTGGAAACTACGGTGCAACATTTGTGGGGGGGACGGTTATGCCGCGCTTACCGCTTACATGTTACTATCAGCGTCTATTCTGTGATGCTCTTCGGCCTGATAGCAGCACCGGGCGATGCAGAAACTCTGTGCTCTACCCTGCTTCCCCTTGTCAGCCCGAATACCCGTACAAGACTACTCCAATGCGCTCCTCGGCCAACCTGCCCACCAGCCGCAGACCGGATCTCAGCACTGGAGGCCCCGTGCCAAGGGTCCTCAGGTTTGCTGTTCCCGAACCTCGAGTTCGGGTCCCAACGTAAAACCTAGCAACCTTTCAATCGTGGAATACAAATTCAGCTACCGCCCCTTCCACAAGATCCACAAGCTGCTTCGCTCCCCATCGCCAGGGCTCGGAAGCATGGTAATGGCAAATGCCACAATGCACTGAACGGCTGGCGGGACCCCACCTGGAGGATGAGTTAAGAGCGCGAGCGAGCTGATGCAGACACGCGTCTCAAGCGGGAGATACTACTGGACCCCTGCAGCACGTGTAAAGAGGTACCTCACCGAACATGCAGCCGGAAAGTCCCCAAAGAACCCCGCTGTTTGCAGAACAATGGTACCTTGCTGTTGGCAACTGACAACAAGGGCTTCAATCGCGAAGAGCACCGCCTCACAACACAGCGGCTCCACTGTCTTCTGCTCTGCCATTTGACACTTGCTGCATAACTTCATAACGATTCATAACTTTTCCGTTGCGATGGAATGTTGCGATTGGAGCTCTGGTATGTTGTGGACGCTATGCTGCTCAATATTCGCTTACGTCGCTTTTGTGCCGTCTCGTGTGGACATTCACCCACGCTTGCCCTACCAAAATAATGCGCTATCATTTCTTCTTGTTGTGTGGGGTTACAGTTCCACGTGCTTTCAGACGTGCGGTGCTGCATCCTGACTTAGTGAGCCCTCTATCCAACAACTGTACAATTGCCACCGGCTGAAACATAGAGTGGATGACTGCTGAACGTCCTTTACGGTTTGGACTTCGGGTTTGGAGCAGGGTGAAGGGGTGAAGGGTGGAGCTTTTTCAGCATGCCTTCTTCTGGCGACAACACAAACAAGCCCAACCGTGCTTACCTTCCCGAAAGTCTCAAAGCAAATGCGAGGAATTCTCGAAGAAGACATGCTCACAAGGTCTACGCTTCTCCCGCCTCCAAGAAGTCTCTCTTGGGATCTCGCTCCTCACCCATCGTCAGAAATGGGTTCACTTCGAGTTTCGATGACCCTACGATGCCACGACCTCATACTTGTATTCTGGAAGTGGCAGTGGTGCATTGGCACACTGTTTGAAGAAACTCACTCTCATGATTTCCTACTTCGACACCCGGCATGTGGTCTCGTTAATCCGGAAAGAAGTTTTTCCCCATCCCCACTCCCCAAACTCCTTTCCGCGGCTTCCTTCACCCAGCAGCGCGTGGTGCGATCGTGGAAGGCGTGGCTGTGGTCCTGGTGGGCTTCATTAAAGCCTCCCATTTAAATTAAGGAGGTCAGCGCCCGGAGAGAAGCACATTTTCATAACAGCAAAGTTCAAAGACCCAGCACTTCCAGCAAAGGGTTGGGCTCAGAAAGTCCAGATCTTCCCACTCTCTCTCTTCCTCTCTGTCAAAACGGCCTCTTCCCATCAGAGACCACTTGCCAAAGCACAACGGGCCTTGGCGTGCGTAGCACCGCCCCAGCGACGATGGTGCAGCCGCATCACTACCCCCTGGACCATCACCAAGGTCCTGCTGGCGGTTAGCAGATGTGACTAGCTTCGTACATATGTGTTGAGGCTGGAGGCATCGGGTCTGCATGATCCTGCATGGCCACGTACATCTGGACCCTTGAATCTAGCGGCGACTGATGGACAACAAAAAAGTGGGAGCAACTCGGAATTGAGCACAGGCCACATCTCTCTTCTTGAAACGCTGAAGCGACAACCTTGAAATCAGCGATTGTTCCCTGACTGCACCTGGAGGGCAGGTCCAGCCAGGGACTGCAAAGCCGTTAGCAACTCCTCGCAAGTCCAGGAACGTGGTTGTTGTTTTTTGTGTGACGGGTTGAGCTCCTGCGATCTCCTGCAGCTGGCAATTCCTACCTTCCGCCCCTTCGGACTTGTTAAAAACCCTGACACGGCCTACAACCTTGAAGGTGCGCGGGCCTCAAGATGTGGCGTCGCACCGCCCATCGCCTGTAGGAAGCCGGACTAGTGAGTGGAAAGTATCTTGAGTACCGGGTCGCACAGGTACGACTCTCGACTTACTTCGCTGTCAACCCCGCGGACCAGTAGGCTTTCGTGAATATACTGTCGGTAGCACCTGGAAGATGGCACCCAAGCAGCGCGTTGCTCGCAGCGCATTGGGCAAATTTCCTGTACCGGTCAAATGGGTTGCAAAATCTTCCTATACTATAGGGTTGAACGATTCAGGGCTCTGACGCCCCTGGATGTGGCCGGGGGTCATTGCGACGTCTAAGACGGCACATTGCTCTTAAGCTGCTGTTTTTGAACACAGTACAATGATGACAATTCAGACAGGCAGTATCGACATATTCGCACAGGTTACGTTCGCCCTTGCGCGACATTGAGTGAGTGCGTTGAGGACAACGATCACATTGTCCACAGCCTTTGAGATTGTGCACTTTGCATTGTGAAATGACCTGGAATGATATCTATCTTCACCGGTGTGAGGTTGGGAGGTTGTGAGAGAATATCCGCACCCTGACGAACAAAGGCTACGAATCGGCATCAAATCCACGGAGATCTGGAATGCAAGCACATACCCTTCTGCTGCTACTTGGTGCGAAGCAACCCAATGATCTGCAGAAAAAGAAGAAGCAGCTTGTTCATCCGAAACGCTTCTCACCCGATCCTGTTCGCTGATGCTCCTCTGGCTGCTTCCGCTAACACGAGTAGCAGCAGTCCTTTTCATATTTGTATCACACGCACAATGGCGATGCTTCGGCGGCCTCCTGTCAACAACGGTGCCAGTGATGCCACGGCAGCGGCGGCGGCAGGGGCAAATGCAGCACCCAATGCCTCGTGGAAACAAATCAGCGCCGACTCCGGAGGGCAGTAGCAACAAAATTACAACAGCAGCAGGTCCTGCTTTGCCCAATAGCCTTGTCCGTAGTCTTGAGGTGCAGCTTCGGAACTCTTCAGGAATTGATCGCATTAATGTTCAGGTTTGGATGAAGGCTCAGAAAGCCTAGGCTTGGGGGGCCAAGCCTTGGCTTGGGTTTCACGGTATGGCGGGACGTGCACAAGAGTCACATCAGGCCACCCACGGTGCAGAAAGCCTTCACGCACAGTGACCTCCCGCGACATCAGTACACCCGAAAGCCGGAAACTCCCAAACTCGTGCATCCTGAAACCGCGAACGCCAACAAGCCTTGGCCACATCCCCCAGAGCGGCGAGGGATGCATGGCAGGCCTCGGGACACTGCTTCGCCTTCTTGTAGCACTGCCTAATTACTGTTTACTTCATCTTCTACCGAGTCGGGTCCCTCAGCGCAGTTGGAATCACTCGGTCCCGCAAATACGGCATGTGCTGTGCTTCTCTTCGGTCCTTGCGATGCTACTGGGGCTCGTATACTACATGCCATGCCAGAAACGTTGTGTAAGTTGTAGTGAACAGCTTTGCATGCACACGACTTCGCACTTGGATCTCAGACATACGCAGAATAACTTGTTATCTCAAGTTTCCTCCAGAACATACACAAACCAGCAACTACTTCACAGCCTGAATCGAATGCGAGGGGTGCAAAAGCTGATGCTTTCCGACGTGCACATCAATCAATTTCCGAACTCGCGACTGGCAGCTTCGATACTTGCCATGTTCTACCAAAGCTGCACTGGCAATGTTACAATCCCGAACCATTGCTCGGGCCTCGGGAATGTCTGGCCTGCGAATGGACGCCAACAGGGCCGGCCAAAGCTGTGTCCCCTGGTGCTCACGGAGTGGGAAATTGGCCCTCGTAAATTTACAATCTGCAGCTGCCGTGTGCATGGCAAGGACGTGACAGTGGAGAGCCCGGTTACTGCACCGAGTCCTGTATCGCTTGTTCATGAGCACGACATAGGCACATCGACCCCACGGTCCCTTACAGCAGTTACAGCTGCACTCAGAAAGAAGCTACAGACGTCTGCCACAACCCTGCGTAATCCAGATCCGAGCAGGCCGAACCGCTGCAACAAGGCATGCAGAAGCTTCAGACCTTACACCACGATAACAGGAGGAAGCCATAACCTTCACTTCTAGAGTCCTGAAAACCAAGCTGGAAGTCGAACGCATGCGAATCGGCTCGACACCTAAAAACCGATGTCTTCCCATAAGAAGGCCTCGAAGTTGGCACCCAAGGCAGCAGCCAAGTGGCCCATGGCGCGAATCGCCTCCTTCGCGCACGAGAAGTTGCCAAGTCTTTCTCTTACAATGGTCTTCTACGAGTGTGCTGAGCTTGATTATGGCTGCTGTTTCATGGTCATCCGTACAATCCTCTTCTTCGGATCATCCTAACTTGCGCGGATGGAGATGATGATCGTCATCACGGGCATGAGCAGCAGAACGTCAACTCCTCCAATCTAGAACTAAACCAGTGTTTCTACTTCGTGTGGCTCCTCCTCGCCAGCTGCGCCGTGGCGCGCCAAAAGTGAGCTAACTGCCGAAGAACGGCTCTGGACCTGAGCCAACACCAAAGGAAGCATGAACATGGTCCACTGGAATAGCAGCTTTGAGTGTGTAGACTGAAGACGAAGGAGCGCGCACAGACAACACCAACGATGGATTGCGATATGCGTGGGCTCCTGTGGACATTGCTGGATGACATCCTATGACCGACCAGTCTCTGACGTGAAACTCTGATGCAGCCCATGGTAGCGAACCGAGATAGAGTCACTTTCTACTGGCCGCCAAGTCGCTCGCGGACCCAGGCGAACGATGAGCACTCGCAGGCAGCAAAACAAACCTCTCTGGCAATTATACTCTCCCTCCAACCTACAAGTATCCAACGAGTTCATTGTTAGCATCTGCTAAAAATGGATCCAGAATCATTGCAGCACTGGTGAGCCATCTCAAAACCATGAAGGGGTCATGACTCTCTTCTGGGGCTCGCGCCCCGGGCTGCCGCCCCGCCAACTTGTTCAAGCTCCGCCTTGCAAAATTTGCAAGCTGTTGCTCGAGTGGACACGCGCACAACCTGTCGGGACTGTCATGTATTTTGCATTCGGCTTAGCATGGAGTCCCTCCCTTGCCTGTTTGAGTACTTCGTCCAGGAGCGATTCCATCTGCGGAAGGCACTCCTCTGGATCGTTCGCAATGCGGCTTCAAACGAGACAGCAACGGACCCAAAAGTACAGAGCTTGCTCGAGGCCCGCAGACAGTCCTCCGACGCCCGACCCAAGAGTTCCGTCAAGCAGCCTCGGGGTGGAAGGAGTTCGAAGAGATTGGAGGGAGTCGGGTGTGTTCGGGGTTGCTGTCTCTGGTGGGGGAGGTGCACCTTTCGGGGGGTAGCTCAAAATTAGGCAGAAATCAGAGTCCAAACTCTGAGCAGCTCTGGCTTTTCGACCCTCGGGTCGAGTGCAGCACAGGGGCTCAGCAGAGCATGCTGAGTTCGGCTTTGTGGCAGCGCTCTTTGGGTCGCGGCCAGCAACGATTCCTTGGCTGCTCGACAACATGAGGGCCTGAGCAAAAGCTTAAGCAAACATGGATAACACACACACACACACACCCGCGCACACACACGAGATGAGAGTTTAGGATACTAGCGGCGACCGTGGGTGCGATGATAAGGCTCAGATCAGCGATACAGATGATAATCATGGCGACGTGAGCCGTGGTACGTAGTTGTCGTAAGTATTCATGGAAGTATTCATGGGTTCACAATTTCCGAATATGACGTTCGCACAGCAAGACTTGAACATTTCCGGATATGATGGCGCAAAGCGCGAAAATCATCACGGTGCGAGGGCAACGCTGATGGCCCAGCCATAAAGCACTGCTACACTTTGGCATCAAACCCTGATGTCGCCAAAACGTACAGCACCTTGACCGTGCTAGCTCGAAACACAACACCTTGGTGAAGAACTCTACGAAGACTGGGCGACCCTGACATGAATCCACACCTAGCTCGGCACGTGTGCCATTGCAACTTCTCAGCGGTCACAGGAGTCCCGACCTCGTCCGGCTGAAGCCAAGCCTCCAGCACTGCGCCGAAAGGAACCGGCTCGAGGACGGCGGCCTCCACACCCTAAAGACTTCGGTGGCAAGACGATCTGAACAAGGTGTCGTAGCTCCACCTATCAGAAGACAGAAATCGAGCCTGCTGGTCGACGAGGCCGTCGAGGCAATAACCTCTGCACAGAAGCGGGCTGCCACTGCTTGCCGTTATGCCGTACATCTCGCAGGAAGCCTGTATCGTGAGCATACTACAAGTAGTTACCAGTGTTCCGACACCTTCTTGCTGATTCGTCACTTCGTGCATTGCAGTCAGCCGGACACAAGAGTTTCTGTGTCATCGGCCACATCACTAGACATGAGCAAACTGAGGACGAGTATTCGCTGTTGTCAGACGTCATGTAACTGCTTCTGGTCGGATCGTGATGCTCCGAGCTCTGACTTCTGAGATGACTGCCAATTGCGGACATCTGCACAAACCACACCCCCACCATCCCCCAACCCCCAAAGCGCCACATCGGATCAACACACGTGGTGCATAAATGACAAGTGGTACCGTACGTCATCGTTCGCATCTCGTGCATCTCGAGCGCTGCCACGAGACAAAGCTCCTCGGCCAGCGCGGCCTCTGCACGCAGTCGACGCAGCGCAGCATCGAAGAGCACAGCCTTGTCAGGAGGCTTCGGGGCCCTTGAAAACTCACGAGAAGGCACAGAAACGACAGGCCCAAGAAGCGGGGCATCCCCTTTGCACTTCTATAAGTTGGTTCTCACGCTCCAAACTGCCCCACTCTGCCTGAGCTTCATCTGCCACAGATCCTCCGCAGTGCGGAAGATTTCAGTGACTACACATCCAGGTCTCGCCAGCAGTTCGGTCAGGGTGTCATTGAGGCCTGGGGGCGGCCCCATGGAAAATGCCGAACTCAATACCTGGCAATCCAAGGTGTCCTGGGTTCTTGTCCAGCACCCTGCCCAACCTGGTCGCGCTCGGTGGACATGCATCGTGCACATCTCATTTAGGTTCTATTCCGATGTTGAGCCGTGTATACTTGGAGAACATGTGTCGCTGATGCAAGCTTGAAAATTGCTTGATGCGAACTTCTCCGCATGATCGCAGACAAACATGCTCAAGCCTCGCAGAACATGTGAAGAACACGTATCCCCCTCGAAGTCATGCCAGGAAGCGTCCAGGCAGCAGCAGAAGCTTCAGGCACGGGATGGCTTCTCAGTGCCTGTTGCAGAAATAAAATCTACACGAACTTCAGGCTCAAGATGGCTCAAGTCTCTGACCAGCAATCGGCTTCCGAATTGCACTGCAGCATTGCGAAGATGAAGTCAGAACCCGTGCCGCAAACCAAATCGGTCGATGGACAGCACCGAACATCTTACTTACGTGAAAAAGAAATGGTCGGATCCATCTGTTGAACACAACTTGCTGAAAATGGTCGAAGCCTCATCTCGGAAGCTGTAACTTAGAGCCCTCTAGCCCCCATTCGTAACCATTGAACAGTATTATAGAACCCTGGAAGGAATCCTCCGACTCAGCGCCGCAAGGCCTCCAAAAGATTCGGCAACGCAGAAGCCACAAAAGGGCGCAAGGCCTCTCTGCAAGAGCTCAAAACCGGGAATACTCTTTGAATGAGTTACTTTGCGCAATTTGCGGAGTTTCAGCCGAGACAGATGAGTCTAGGATGTTCGATGAAGCTTCGTGGCGTTGGCTTCGGGGATTCATGTCACTGTGGGGAAGGTGGTATTCTGTCTGCGCGGCGCCTGCGTTGCAGCACATTCTCCACTGAATGGCCCGTAAGCAGCGTCATTGCTTCAGAGCGGCAAGTGGTGTTCCCTTGCTCAATAAAACCGTCAAAGGCAAGCTTCGAGGTGCCCCGACCCCGCGGTCTCGGCCACCATTTGGTGAATCTATCGTTGTCACGGAGCCTACGGACATTCAGAAAGACCTTCCTCCCTTCCCCCATGATGCACCTGGGTGCTTGGTCCATCCTGGCGAGATTCACGGAGGTAAAGCAAGGAGCTGCTGGCAGCGATCAGATCTGTTTAGGCTATTGAGCTATCTGTTGCCACCGCGTGGTTCGTGCTGAACTCCGCTTCTGCTGAAGCCTGCATTCAAGTGCCTAACTGAAGAACATAGGTTCCATGCGGCCAAAGTGTGCACAAAGCTGTCCACGAGCTGAAAGCCGTGAATAGTTACTTTAAACATGACCACCAGAGACGACATGTAAAGCCGCAGATGCTAAGACAGCAGAAAGCCTGGAGAGCGCCGAAGGCAAGCAGCGCGGATCGCCGCTGCCACTCATCCTTCGAGGAAGTGGCGCTCTTTCGCGTAGCTCTGCTGTAAAGGCCAACCACTGAAGAGGCGAGACATAGAATCATTGTAACATGATGTGCCCCGACAGAGCATTCGAGCTGTTGCAGATGTCTGGGGTTGTCCATGCGGAGCTTTCCAAAAAGCTGTCCAACACTCTGCAACATGTCCCACACTCCCGTCACCGATTTCCCTTCCGGGGCATCCTGGGAGGACATGGCGGCTGAGGCAAACTGCAAGATCGGGCCAACACAGGCATCTCCCGTGACCTGCGAAACTTCAGTCAAGGCTTACGAACAGGGGCCCATCGGATGCAGATACGTGCGGCATCGTGCGGCACTTGGAGGTCTTCGGGAGTTGAGGTTCGCCGGTTTACGCGAAACGGTCCTGAGTACGGCGAAGGCCTGCAAATAAACGTGGCATTCATGATATCCAGTAGCTCCAATCCTGATTAAGCCATGCAGCTGATATCAGCTGGACTTCATACAAAGCAAAGAGACAAGCGGTTGCAAGCACTTGCCTGGGCTGCTGGGGAGACTATACGGGGCGGGGGCCGGGTGGCAGGCGGGGTGGGGGGCGCCTGTTGATTTGGGGGGCGGGCCCAACGAAACCACAAAATTGGCACCGGGGGTTGACCCAACTTTGGACTCGGATCTCAAAAACTTAATAGGAATATTTCAAACTATACCCACTACCCCTGATACAAGCTCTACGCACAGCCTCCCGTCCCAAATCCCCACATCTAAATCCCTCAACATCCAAACTCGAAGACCCTGGAAAAAAGGCGTACAATTTCGAAGTCGTGGCAATTCCGTCTGGCCTTTGCCACGGTAATCACCGCACCGCAAGCGGCCTCCTGCACCGGTGAGGCGTCCTCCTCCGGATCCCAGGAGCCTTGCAGTGCATGGGCGCTCAGCGACACGAGGCTGACAGTAAATTAAGCACCGAAGCGACCGGCAGTGAAAGCTTGGGTCGCAGTGGCGTTCGATTGTGGTTCCCTGCTTTGCAGTGCTGCATGTTGCTTGAGCACGGCTGATCATGCTGAGAATATTCAACGTTGCTGTTGTTGCTGAAGGTGATGATCGTCTGAGCGACCAGCTTGCACAGAAGAACCAAAAACAATGTGACACACGCCTGAGGCCGTGACCGGACTGCCACGTGCTTGGCCTTGCCTGAAGCGCCTGGCGCCAGCGCGTGATTCGGGGATCGGAGCTACATGGCTCGGGCTTTGTGTCCCGTCAAAATGTTAGAATGTTGGAGGTCCGAAGGTATACGTATTCCGAGCCTGGGACCTTCCACCCGGAACCTGCATCTCGACGCATAGCACAGAGCTTCTTCGCGTTATCAGATCTTGTTCACATCTCCGGGGCCACAGCCCTGCCTCTTTCTCTTCTACCCCAGTCTCCATGTTGTTCGAACTCAGGCCCATCACATTCGGGGTCTGAGACAGTTTTGGGTAAGGTCCCTTGTGTTGATAGGCTTCGTCGTGACCCTGGTCGAATGCCTGATTGTCCCCCCTTTGTTCATCTCTAACCTTGATGCCATGAGAGCCGTCTGACCACCATGGCAGATTGCAAGAAGGAACAAGCGGACAGCAAAGATCTCTGCGATCTTGATGCAAAGAAAACTGAGCTCAGAGGAGCACGCCATTCGGCCGTGACGGCAATGCTCAACTGCGAGCTCAACATCGCCATCCCGGCAAGAACGCATGTAGCATGCGGCCACACCACAGGCCAGCAGCCGTTTGCCAATCAGCTCAGACCGAAGCTTTCCCACGGCAGGCTCGAAATGCTTGGAGATGTGAAAGGCTTGTAAACTCTTGGCCTGGGCGTCCGATTACTAATAGGGCGCTCAGCAAGAACATGCAAGAACGAACTCGCGGGAAACCTCCAAGCAGGACTAGGGTTGGCACCTTCCTGCCAATCCAGTAGACTTTTCTAGGCTTCCCCAGAGATCCGAGAAAGAGGAAAGGGGGCCAAGGCCGGCAGCCGGACCAGAAATTCAAGCGGTGCGCCCGCCTCTTCGGCAGGGCAAAGGCCAGGCAAAAGTCAACGGAAGCTTCTGACAACATCCACGCAAAGATGATCGGCTTGAGCCACTGTCACAGGCGCCACTGGAGTGGAGGAAGCGATTGAAGTGTAGATCTGAATGCCGAAAGTCCAAGGCCCGTCAGATGCACGGCTGGACGACTCTCGATTGCAACTGTGCCCTCCGTCTGTACGATTTCTTGGCTATGCTCACAAGCAGGACGCTTTGCCATTTGCAGCACATGTCTGACACGGCCCGGCACCTCAAGCAACAGCGGCATCAAGTTGGGCAAAGCCTGCTGCAAAAGACCTGATGCAGTGGCTCGGCTTACACCACCCCTTACACGGTGCACGTTCACAAACATCAGCGAATCTACGGGTGACTTGAACTGTGACGACCGAAGCTACTGGATGCTTGAAGCGGAGACATGGCTCGACGATTGCGGGGGGAGCAATGCTTGTTCTCTCGTCCGTGCTGAGCTTGAGGGAACATTCGGGCAAGACTAGAGATGACATGCATACCGGCAGGGATATCGGGGCATGCCACACGGCGAATGACAGTGAGAATTTGAGGGTTAGCACCTTTTAGTCTGCTGCACCTACCAAGCTTTCAGGCAATGTTCGGCATGTTTGGATACACACTTCAGCCATCTAAGAAGCAATACCGAACTGCCACCACTGCCGCGACCTCGACACTGCCCGCTTGGCTTGCCATCCAGCAGGTACAGCTCGTAGGCTGCCAAAGTCTCCTGGGCTTTTGTATTCCCAGAAGACGGAGCTTCGGGCCTTTGTTACCGGCTAACATTTTTGCTCGGGCGGTTAGGCCTCGAAGTAAGCAGCTAAGGCTACTTACTAATCAAAGGAAGAGTTGCCAAGAGTGTGACGATTCACGTGGCTAACTTCCACTTGCTCATCGGGCCAAGCAGCCCAGAGCTCCACGGCTTGCACTTGCGAGGCCTCGCCAGTCCCGCGGAGAGCGCCGCGGCAAAGATCGATCATCCTGACAGGGTCATGGTTACTTTGTTCGTTGAAGTCTCTCGTCTGAGAGGTCCCGGAATTCGCCCGGGATGTTTCAAGACAACTACGTTCCTCAGCACAAAGATCACCATCCAAGAAAAGTGATACTGTCATCGATTCTGTCCAGGCTCTGCTGGAGCTGGGGGGTGCCGAGGGCCTCGTAGCACTCGCAGGCAGCCACGCCCAGCAAGCCTGGCTTACTCGGCTGTCGACTTGAGAGTCTTGGCTTCGCCCTGTGCTGGAACGGTACCTCAGGAATTTGGCGCCTTCTCAGACTCAGGATATGATACATACCTGAGCACCAAAGCCAAGAACTTATAAACCATATGCCCAACCAGAAACTAATTCCAGCCTCCATCTCTGAAGCTCACCCCTTGGCTGCCGAGCAGCGAAGCTCGGCTTCGCCGGTGCCCGCTGCCAAGGTGGCGGCCAACACCTGTCATCGTGACAAGTAAATGCCGTTGCGGCCATGGGAAACTTGCTTCATATTCCTACATGCTACATGTCTTGGGGACATAACCCAGGCAGGTTGCAGGGGTCCAGGCTCCAAAATCATAGAGGTCGGGAGTTTGAGTTTGGGGCTCGAGGGCCGCATCAGGGCGGAGCTGTGCAAACTTGAGCAGTTGTGCACACGGAGTTTGATTAAGGTCATTAGGGGGAGAGAAAGGGATCCAAAATGCTTTGCGCAAGAAGAGTTTGAGGACCTAGGCTGTGAGGGCCTGAGGCTTGGCATATTTTCGGCATGCTGCCTCGCCTAGACGTGACCTCTCCTGCGGTGAGGGATGAGGCCACCTGTGACGGGCAGCCCCTGTTCACTCCTTTGGCCCTTTTGTGGCCTGAGCGCCGAGGCCATGGCTTTGGTGCAGTTCTTTGGCTCGCACTCCCAGGTGACCTCGCCTTTGGGCTGAGGTTACCGGGGTGCCGAGCCTTTCTTGGTACAGACCCGTGCAGGGAGATGAGGAGTGAAGTCTGGGGTAGGGGTTTCCAAGGCTAAGCCTGGGAGCCTTTGCCTCAATTAATTCACGAGACGTAATGGCCTCTGTCCGTGGACATTCGCCCACCAAGAAAAAAGGGATCCAACATGCTCCCAGATTTGTTCTTATCGTCTGCAGTCGGCATCATGCGGCAACTGCATGAGGACATGTGCAAGTCGTTCTTTTTCCTGTTGGCAGTGATGATTCGTGTGACTCGTGCAAGGCTTTCGTTACTGCAACCACGCCCTTTCCGGGACAGGACATCAGTGTCAAACTGGTGGGATGGGGTACTCTTTTTCTTAGTGCACCAAACTGTCAAACTGTGTGGAGGACCTGTCGCTTGGAGAAGTCAGGGTTCACGCGGTCGTGGATCAGCTGCCGGGCAGCAGGCAAGTGCAACTTCGGGCCGGACGTGAACGCCATTGTCGGATTGATGGAGCAAGACTCTTGCATGTTCCTGTTAATTACAAGTTGGCGTCTCGGTTTTCTTGGTGAAAGCTTTTTGGCGATGGTGCGTGCTGCGGGGCTTGCCGCTTGCCTATATCGGTTGCAGAAACCCTGCGCCAGGCTCGCCACGCAATGCGCAGTTTCGTTCCGAGTCTTATTCGGTGTTGCATTGCCGCTTCATGGCTTCAGAGTTGAGGCGGCATGTCCGCTATGCAGCATGAGTGTGATAGACCCGGAACCCATTACCCCTTCGACTTGTCTCAACCTCTACACTCGACTCTCTGACACTCCAAGCCTCACCAGCCGCCTCTTTTGTGGCGCCCAGTGAGACTGGGACCAGCAAGGAAAGAGCCTCCCAGCGGAAACTTTGGCTTCAGAAGTCAGCAATGGCTGTTTAATTCAATACAGTGACCAAGAATACAAGGCCGGTTTGCACTTCTGCTGTAATTGATTTTCGGAACTGTAAGATACTGAGGCCAGTCATGGACATGGGTTTGTGATCCACGAACAGCACCGCAAACCCGCTGTCAGAAACCCGGGTCTTATTATGCCCGCTTTTCCAAATTCACAGGGCATTGTCGCACTACGGCGAGCAACTCAGTGAATGTACAGCGGCGAAGGCCGTGCGCTGCTTACAACTTTTGGCTGAATGTGCTTGAACTCTCAGAGTGCTGACCATGTGGAATTCAAAGACCCTGCTGTGCCTCTGCCGCAGCACCCCGCAGCGGGGCGGGCTTTGTGAGTGAGAGGAAGCTCAGCGTGGCCTGCGGGTGGTCGATGGCTTGTTTAGGGTTAGGAGTCGGACAAGAAAAACCGAGGCTTGCTCTGGCCTTCATGAGCTCTGCGCTGCCTGGCAGCAAGCCTGCAGCAAGCCGGATCAATTCCGCCACTTGGCTTTGTGAAGGCCCCAAACCCAAACTTTCAAGACAGGCCTGCGCCCGAGCACTGCCAATGCTCCGCAATCTGCCCGAAGCAAGAGAGAAGCTCCGGGGTGACATCTGCGGGCCAACGTGTGCATTGCCATGGGCTTTATAACCGGGCTTTAGATGGCTTTGGAGTTGAGGCCCGTCGTCGGGGCTGAAAGCAATGTCCATCTTGATTCTCAGGCTCCGGTGCATTGGTGCCCAAGCATGCCGAGATTTGGGAACCTCCAGCAGGCTGACAGTGTCGGATCCCGTTGGATCGACCAGAAGTGTCTTACAAAGGCCTAGACCCGAATCCTGAACTGCGCAACTGCAACCCTCCCAAAACTTCAGGCCTGGTCGACGGCAAAGGGCGAGGAGCTGTGGTGCCACTGCAGCAAAATTGCCTTCAACGGGCTCATCGCTTCTTACAGTCGGGCGTGGGGTGGAGCTTTCCAGCGGCAGCTTGCCAGTGCGTTCGGGCGTTCTGAAGCCCCACGGGTCACCCGAGTGGGATAACGGCTTCGAAGGCGACTTCTAAGCATGAACCGGCAAATCTGAAAACGACCTCGACCAATCAGCTCTGCCCAGTTGCTACAAGCCAGCTTTGCTGCGCAAAGCCTCAAGACGCAGCTGCGAACAACGTATGACTGGTCGGGGCTTGCAGCTCGCGAACTAAGATGGTCCACGTGCAAGGCGCAGGCGTCTGAAGAAGTTGCACAAAAGAAAGTCCTGATTCGCTCATCCCTACTCAGCCCCACTCGTTGAGCAATTTCTGACATCCTGCACTCCAGGGCAGGAGCAGAAAGCGGAAAGATAATTGGTTGAACCCGTGTGGTTGGACCTCTGCGTGTTTGTTCTCATACCCCTAACTCATAAAAGTACCACACAGTTCAAGATCTCTGTTTTTTGTGAGAGGCACAGGGCTTAGGAGCGAGAATCTCTCGCTTTCTTCTTTCTTTCTTTCTTTCTTTCGACGGGGCTGTGGTGGGAAGTTGCTTTCCCACGGTGCTCTCTTTGCTTTGCTTTGCTAGGGG